AAATGTACTGTACAGCCGGAAGCAGTCATTACATTTCTTTTTAACTCTACATTTTTAGCTTATGGAATGTAAAACAGACTGAATTCACGAAGTACAATTGAAAGAGCGAGTCATGTCGCCAATTTATCTGCTTTTAAACTACAGCAACAACTCAATATACCACTTACGTTACGGAGTGCATTCTCAAGTGTAGTTGCGAGAGCAGTAAAAGTGTGTGTTATTTATAGTTCTTGCTGTTATTTGAGCATGTAGTCGTGATTATGAACAGCATTAGAGTTAAAATACAATCATAACTATAGTTTATCAACTACAGTTAGGCAAGTACAGTTTCGAATGCAGTTTATCTGTACTTCTTTCCACCCGGGTGGAGAGCGGAACTATAGCGAGCCCTCACTGTATCTGAGAAGAAAACAGAGATTATTTTTTCTATTCAATAAATAACCCACAAGAAGCAGTTAAAACTTTCAACTCTGACATACCAGAAACATTGGATGGAAGAGTATAACTTAACTACTCTGTGAGGAAGTAGTAGGTGTCTGGCTGTAGGGAGATGGGTGCTCTTCAACCATTAAAATACCACCTTCCTCGCATGGTACATGCGTGGGAGCAGCTGTGAATTTCAAAAAAGAGGGAAAAATAAACGAGCAGGCCCGCCCTTCCGCCAAACGCAGTTGCCAGCTCCACTTCGCTGCGCCGGCAACTCCGTTCGGCAGGGGCCGGGCCTGTTGGCCTGCCGGCGGTGATGGTCGGGCCTGTGGCCTGCGGCCCGACCATTTCAGTCTCGCGATTTACTGAAGAATATAACCAAATAAATCATGTGACCGGTAAATCACTTTCCATATTTGGGTAAACTAACTTCCAGAGGGGGGCCTGCGGCCCAAGAGATTTGCCCCTTTCACATGACAACAGACTGTAACGGGGCAACACAGTGACTAAACCCCACCCTTCTGCTTTGCTCAAGAAAAATACAAAAAAATGAACCAGCGCAGTTTTCAGCCCGCCCTTCTGCTTTTAAAAAAGCATTGAAGCGGGCTTATGCAACCGCTCTCGGGTCCGTCCGTCCGTCTGTCTGTCCGTCGTCCGTGTAAGAGGAAGGAGATGAGCTAGAGGTCTGCAAATTTTAGGGTATCTTAGGGGTCACTCCTGGACAACGAAACGCCTGGTGCAAATCCTGGCAACTATCCCTAAGGGGGTGAAAGGGGGTAACAAAGAAATAGGAATCGGTCCAAAAAGTAGAAAATCAATTTTTTTTTTATGGTCCCCTAAGGGGTAACTCGTGAAAGTAGAACCCTGTGGGCTAAACTTTCGTCCGTTTGCCTCTATCTTGCACCGTTTGGGCACTAGAGTTGGTTTTTCGACGAAAATACGGTGAAAATGACCACGTTGTACAAGGAGGCGTCCAATCGTAAAATGTCAGAGGAAGTACTCCCCCAAAACAGCACATTCTGAGTCCGTTGGTAAACTCCGATTTACCGCATCTTTAACCGTTTAGGAGCTAGAGGTAGATATTTTGAAAACAGTTGCAAAAAGTCAAGTTTTAAGAAGACTGTTTGGCAAACAGTATACAATCTACAATATACAATCTGAGCGATTTTTTTTTAAATTCTTAAGCAAAGCAGAAGGTGGGGTGTAGTCACGGTGTTGCCCCGTTACAATCTTTTGTCATGTCCAAGGAGCAAATTTCTAGGGCCGCAGGCCCCCCACCGGACGCGTTAGTTTACTCAATTAATGCTAAGTGATTTACGGGTCACATTATTTATTTGATTATGCACTTCGGTAAATCGAGAGACTGAAATGGTCGGGCCGAAGGCCCGACCATCGCTGCCGGCAGGCCAAGCAGGCCCGGCCCCTGCCGGAGTTTGCAACTCCGTTTGGCGGAAGGGCGGGCCTGCTTGTTAGATTGTATTGTTCGTCAAACAGTCTTAAAACTTGACTTTTTGCCATTGTTTTCAATAATTCCACCTCTAGGGCTGAAACAGTGAAAGATACGGCAACTCCGAGGGTAGTTTCTGGTTCAGAATGTGTTGTTTTGGGGGGGGACTCCCTCTTATATTTTACGATTGGACGCATCCTAGTATGTCTTTATGTGCAACGTGGTCATTTTCGCTGTGTTTTCGTCGAAAAAGGCACTCTAGCGCCCAAACAGTGCAAGATAGAGTCAAACGGACAAAATTTTTGCTCAGAGGGCTCTACTTTCGCGAGTTACCCCTTTGGAGACCATAAAAAAATATTGTTTTCCTACTTTTTGGACCAACTCCTATTTCTTTGTTGCCCTCTTTCACACCCTTAGGGGTGGTTGCCGGGATTTGCTCCATGCGTTTCGTTGTCCAGGAGTGACCCCTAAGATAACCGGAACTTTTTATACCTCTAGCTCACCCCCTTCCTCTTACACGGACGACGGACGGACGGACACGAGAGCGGTTGCATAAGCCCGCTTTAATGCTTTTTTAAAAGCAGAAGGGCAGGCTGAAAATATGGCATATTTTACAAAGATCAGACGCACAGCGCAAAAGCAAGAGTTTGCAGAATGTACAACTCACTCTCACTGGTGTGTTGAGATGTACTGATCCCTGCAGCTCCTAACTCCAAATGACCAGAAGTGGTTGGGGATGGTTTTATCTCGTGCGCCACTAAGAGAGGGTGAATAGGTTCATCCGTACACTGTTAAAAAAGTTGTGAAATTTCACATCAAAATCAGTTGTAAAATTGCAAACGTGGTTGGGAAATTTCATAACATTGTCAATTTTGCAATTAGTTATTAAAATTCATAACAGTTTTCTGAAAATTCAAATCTGTCTTCTGAAAATTAGGAAACATTTGTAATTTTACAATTTGCGATTGTAAAATTGTGATCACTCTATCGGAAATGTGAGATTTGATTGTAATTTTCCGATTGCAGTTTGTAATTTTGCGAAGTAAAACCAAATGAAACAGGACCTGCACAAGTCCTCCATCAGGTTTACTACAGTACAACGAACCTCCACACCTATAAGCCCGTTGTGACTTTGAACTTTCATGCGACGAAACAGCAACTGTACTTTAAAGAACTGCCGCCAGGTGGCGCTGTGGTCAGCGCGTCTCTTCCAAGAGCAATTATTAGTATTTAACTAAAATTTGCCCAAGAAACTGACATGTATTTTTGTGCGGTATGATCTGTAACATAATGCTGTAGCTGGCTACGCATTTGTTTTTGAGCAAAAAGTCAACCAAGTGCCCCAAATATTTGGTCTAATTCCAGCGCGCGCCGGTCCCCGCTACCTCTTCTTAGTTAGGTACGGCGCCGTTCGCATCTGTTCCGTAGGGGGCGCCTGTGAAGCGCTCCCGTATTTTTGCTGTGACTTTATCCTCAGAGGTAACTGACACTTCCTCAACCCGTTGAGCTGATCTCTAGACCATCTGTGGTTTACCTACTCCATGATCATAACAAATTATTTTAATCTTATAAACCTTGATGTTTTGAAAATTCACTTTAACGTTTTTAATTTTCAGATCGTAGATTGGGAAATTTCAAAACACGTTTGCAATTTTTTTTACAAATGTTTTAAATTGTAATTTTACAAACATTGAATTGCGTAAAAAGTTGCCAACAAAATTTGTAAAATTACAATCGATTTTTTTAACAGTGTAATCTCTTCCCTTGAGAGAGAAAAGTAAAGCGATGAGTACGATAACGATAAGCTACTGACAGTCACAAACCAACAGAAAAGAAAACTCAAAAGTTACATGTTTGCAGGTTATGCTTTCATTATTACTTACTCAGTATCCGAGTTTTCACTTTCACCGTCATATTGTATCTTTCTACTTTGAAACATTCGTCTTCCTCTCGGCATTTTGTTTGGATAAGTGCTGCCCTTAGAGACGGGAAACGCTATGAAAAACTCACAACACCTACAGAATATTTGGTTTCGTCCCTGCGCTGACTTGAGATCATGCGGCACTTTGTTATGGTCCTGGAGTGATAGCAGACCCAATCACGTTAAGCGAGGTATTAGTGTCTGTCCTCGTGACATTCCCAGACTTCAGACTTCTCATTCGCTGGCAGGCCTTTCAGGAAGACAGGTTTCCCAGCTTGATCGGCCTCAACAATACAGTAGGCGCTCGCTATAGTTCCGCCTCCGGTTCAGAATTGGAGTGGGTGAGTGGGGTCGCCAGAGGCGGAACTATAGCGAGCGTCTTCCCCCACTCCTTCTCTACCGCTCTTGCTCACACTGCTGGCCGGCTGGCAGCCCGGGGGAAAGGTGGTGGGGAGGAGGAAGAGAGGGGGGCCGCTTCTCGCTCGGAGTGGGGGAACCAGGCCTGGCGGGGAGGGAGCGCCGGCGGAACTATGGCGAGCCCTCACTGTAGAAACACTCGAGGGGCTCAGACGCGGCGGTGATAGAAGTGAAGCTTGCCAACCTCTGTTAAAAAACCCGAGGCGAAGGTATAGTCTGCGGCATATTTGAAGACTGTAGGCGGCTATTCGCATATTGGCAAATCTCATCTAAATCTCGCGTAAACCATACCTCGATCATCCGTGGATAGCGAGTAAATCGTTCACAGACAATCGGCAAACGGGGCGCAGTTTTATCGCAGATCATTCGCAGACTATATGATCTGCGGATTGTCTGAAAACGGACCGTGGATTGACTGTGCAAGATCTATGCAGGTACGGGCGTGGCAAACTCTCCGCAAACAGTCCGCAGACGATCAGCAACCGGTCCCGCCGCTCTGTGGGTGGTTTGCGGATTGTCTAGGACTCGTCTGCGGATTGCAGCGGGTCGAGGGATGAACTGCAATCAATCCCCAGATCAACCGCGACAATCGCGCCAGTCCGGCGGTCTGCGGATTGTCTGGCGGTCATCTCCAGTTTGCAGTGGCGCGCAAGACGGCCTGCAGCCCACCCGCAGACATCCAGGCGCGCTGGACCGGACGGCGCGGCGGCGAGTTCAAACCATTCTAACCGATTCGTTTAGTTCAAAGGTTATAGGGGGAAAGAAAGAGAGGAAAGAAGTCGAGGGCTGCAATGTTCTTTAATTTTTTTCTTTCTTACTCTATCTCCCGGTAATTTACAGGTACATATAAGAACATTGATGGCTCTACAAACATTTTGAAGCAAACAGAGTTAAGATCTTTTACTTCCACAACACAATAATCTTCAGTGGGTACACATTTAACTATTGAAGAAATTGTGGCTGCTGGAAAATCAATGCTAAACGGGTAGCCAATGGTATATCTTTGAAGTAATGCATAGCATGAAGAGGAATGACAACAGTAATTATTTTCACAATTACAGGATGGTATTTTTACAAAAATTTTTAGAGAACCAAACAATTTCTCTCCATTGGAAAACTTACAAAGAACATTTGTCGAATCTTTCATGCCACGACCATATTCCTCCGCAACATATAAAAAACCATCCTTTTTTAGTCTAAAAAAGAAGCTCAATCGTTTGTTAGGAAATTGTTGACAAAGAACTTCAAGGTACCTGGTCACACTAAATGAATAGGTACTTACAATTTTCCCTATCACAAAGGTCTTGGATGCAAGCTTCAGGGTGATAGCTAGTTGCCTCCGATAAGACATCACTTTTGAACAATAAGATTTCACTACATTATTTTGTAGGGAATTGATTATTGATGGTATTTTTCTGAGTAGTCCTAGATTACTCTGAATCTGACTACCAGCAAACCTTGTTCCATGTACAAGTCTTGAAAGTACACCATTAACATTTTCAAATGCAAAGCAGCTTGACACCCACAGGGGACCAAGTGACAAGACTGTATCAGGTAAGTGAAGTACACAGTGCATATTGTATGACATATTCCTCAAACCAAACAGTTCTTGAGTTTGTCTAACAAAAGAGGTGAGTATCTCACGAGCTAATTGAACATCAGATACTGACACACTGGCTTGATTTAGGAGACCTATACCACAAACAAGTTTCTTGAAATGGCCAAAATAGGGTTCTTTCATGTGCTGTTCGAAAACGGGCAACGCCGTACCGAAGAGCCATGTTCTAAACTCAGATGCCTTAAAATAATTAATGTGGTGCAATGACCGAGGAGGCCTATCTAAGTAGTGAGGTGCCTTAAAGCTACAAAACATTGCGCTTAAAACATCTAGAAGGACTTTTTTTTCTGCTTTTTCGCCAAAAACTAACTTGAAGTATTCAGTACTAAACCACAAATGAAAAATTTGGCGGCAAACTCCGAGATAAATACAGTGCATGACATCAACCGCCGTGGAAAGCAAAAAAAAAGACCTAACCATCCAGTACAGATAAGTTGGACCTTTCACTCCATAACTCAAGTTTTGTAAATCTTCTTTGTACTGATCTTTTGACCTTGGCTCTAAATTTTCCTGAAAGGGATAAACAAACACTTGGCCAGTTTGATCAGATTTCTCCCCCTTAGTATAACAGCAGTGACATCCATGAAAACCATTAAATTGTGTCATTCTCATAAATATAGCTTTGGCAGGGGCATCAGCAGTACCACATAACAGAAAACATTTCACTTTGTCCGGACTCTCTTTGCCATGCACAAGTACTTCTACACCATTCTCAAGACATTTTAATTCCTCATAAATGGGTTTCATCAAAAGATTCGGATGGGGTTTCTCATTCCCAAAAGCAATACCACCCAAAAGAAGATTTTCCTCCTTATGCCTGACTTCAGGAGGAAGCTCATTAATTGAAAAATATATTGGCCACACCTGAAAATTGCTGGATTTATACAAAGAAATGCCATCTGCATTCCATGTCAATGTTATATCTAACTCACTTGTAAGTAAAGGTTCAATAGATTTATATAAAAAACCATCATAAATATCCTCTAAATTATCAGAAACTTTCTTACTCCTTTTATGGCGGTAAGACAAAAGATCTACAAATCCTGGCCTGGCATAAAGGGCTCTCAATTGTTCTATAAGAGGAACATGTAAGTAGAATCCAACTTTAGTTTCAGTACCACACTTGTCACAAACAGAATCTTTGGCTTGTAAACCTTTAGTGCAAACAATACAATAATAAATTAAATTCAAAGGGGTTTTAATGCTTTGAAAATGATTATGAAAAGAGAAAAGTGAAGTTATAAACTTATGACCTGCTGGTAGCAACAAATTTATCAAAGATATCAATTGATCCATTACTGCTCCACTGATTTTACAACCTATCATAAAAGTTAACACAGCAGTGATTGCATCATTGACACTAATAGAAGCTCCATCATAAAGAGGAGGATCAGATGTTGGTAAATCAGAACTAGGCAATGGCTGAGGAGAGTCTAAGGCATCAAAGAACAACTCTGTAGTACAGCCTAAATTTGGACAACCAGCATCCTCTTGGTCCTCTTCAATAAAATTGTGATGGGGGTCATTTTCCTCTTGATTTCCACTTATCCTTAAGGCACCAAGTTCTAACTCTATTGCATCAAAGAAAGGCAATTCTACATCTGAAAAAAAATAAATATAAGTATTCATGTGTAATAATACGGTGTAGAGAAGAAGACATACCAAAAGCAGCAACACTGACCATCACAACCTAAATTATTAAAAGCTTCAAAAATAACGGAAGGCTCATCAAATGAAGATCTTGGTAGAATTGAATCAGTAATTGGCAAAGATTGCTCAGATGTGGCTGCAAGAAAAGACACAAGATAAGTAAAATAAAATGAAACAAGTAAACAAACAAAATCAACATAGGGGCTTAAGTGCTTTACCTTTACCTATGGAAAAATCAATTTGAAGCTCCTCCGTAGTTTGAATTTTCTGAGACACATGAGCGAGACCTACCACACCTAATTGAGTATCATGAAGTTTTTCTGTAATTTAAAGGAATTATTTTAATTTTTAAACATTCCCTGATAAGACATGTACAGCACGAATTTTAGGTTATAGGACATAACATTATTTCATTTTACCAGTAGGGAGAAGAGTGACTGAAGCTTCTGCTGGGCCTGCATCCATATATTCAGGGTGAAGCTCGGAAAACTCATCGGGATGGAAGTCAAACTCGTGCTCAGGGGAGGGTAATGGCCGTGGTGTTACTGTAATGAATCATAAGAAATAGTGTCAAAAAACACCACCACAAAAGAAATTTACGAAAAAAACCTTATACGCAGAGTAGAATACTTACATACTGGGAATAAATCTAAGCTCATGTCAGAATTACTCAAAGTTGGCATCGTCAGCAGCGGTGGCACAGTCGATTGCAGTGGATCTATCTCTAGTTCATTCCGACTGTCACGAGAAATGTATATCGCATTGAATAGAAATATGCCGACAAAATTAGCGCACGCACGTAAGGTTATGCAGACTATACCTCGGATCCGAAGAACTCCCTGGGAGATCATCTCTTATTTCGTTTCGTCTTCGTCGTTTGTTCGACATTTTCAAATAAAATTTACACCTGAAGTTTAGCTATTCACGTATAACACACTCAACAGACAAAATTTATAATTTACAATATTGTTTTAGAATATTGAGTCCGGCGCCGGCTCTGATTTGTTTTGAAGCGGTGAGTACGGGCCGTCACTGCCTGCTTGTTGGGGTCGGGGCAGGGCAGCCACCATTGTCGTGCGCCGAGCACAACAGTCTGTGTTCTCTCTCTCTGTTTTACGAGCCGCTATAGCAGACCACAAACAAGAAAGAAAGTTTTTTCCTGTAATATTCTAACCTCAGGTAAGAAAGCCGACCAGTTTTAAGAGGTGCTACTTTTTAAATTTTTCGTGTGAGTGTTGCTTACACCTGCCCTTTCCTACTGTTTTGATTTTAGTCTTAGTAAAATTTGATTTTTGGACGCCGTGTTTGATTTTCCGTGATTGATTGAAATGCCAAATCGCCGTGGCCAGGGGCCCAAAAGAGGGCCAAGGCTCACAAAGTTTGCGCTTGTATTTTGGGAGGATTGCCCCAAACCCTGTGCCGATGTGGTGAATTACAAAAAAATTGTAGAAAAAAATTTGGCTAAAGGAACACCTGTTACGGTCACATGGGCAAAAGATGTCCTGAAAAATGGCACAATATTAGAGCTTGGTAAGTTGTCCCTTTCATTTTTTTCTTGCGTTATTTCCGCTGACTTTATTTTCATGAACCGGTGTTGGCCTGACCTCCCTTCTGACTGTTTTCTATATCAAATGCGAGGTTGCTCGCACTTAACCTATAATGTTTCTTCTGTCCTGTCTGTAAATTTTACTTTTACAAATCTCCCCAATATTCAAATGGTTCGAAATAGTAACCGACATTTGTTTTCCTTTTCACAGGTTCTGAAAGGAAGCTAAAACAAATGCGGTTCGACGGGGGGCGCAATCCCACAGAGGGGGAGGGCATTCCCTGCCGGAGGGAGTGTGAGCTGAGGCAAAAGATATCATATCGTCGAGGCGTCGTGCAGGGCGAGGCAGACGTTGAATTGCAGCGCACTGTTGGTGAGTAGTACGTTTTCATTTTAAAACAATTATTCACTTGTGTATTTTCTTAATTGAATGTACAATTTTGAGGAATTAGTGTATGCTGTATTTCTATATGCTATTTTATTTACATCTTAAGTTAAACTTTATGCATTCATGGCATATGTTATAATTGTGACCGTTATTCATATTTTTAAAGGAATCGTGTAATTGTTTTTAAAGTTACCTAAAGTTTACATCAGTCCAAGAAATCTAGGTAGAAGACTAAAAACTGTGTGACTCTTTTGATAATTTGTTGGCTGTGAATACTGTGAACTTTTTCTGTCCGCAGAAGTACTTCCCCGTTAGACTCAAGTAGATTTAGCTCCTACACTGCCGCCATTCAAAAGCACACGTGAGCTTCTGCAACATGTTGCCGCTCTACCGCCTGTGCCGACTCCGCTTGAGGTCAACGGCATCGTGTCGCGGCTCCCCTGCCTCGCACCCACCTCTCCAGCTGATGTAAGTTTTCCCACCAAAAGGATAATCAAAGGAGAAGGGGAAGCGGGGCGTAACTCCATGGAAACTTAGGGATGTATGATTCAGCTGTATAGGAGCTCAAACTACGATGAGATCGTCGGCGTGCTACTGCCGGGGCGTAGGCAGCGGGGTCCGGGTAGACGTCCTCGACGAGTCCGTCGGCGTGCTGCTGGCGGGGCAGGCAGGAGCGTTCTCGACGCCGACGGCCTCGTCCAGAACGTCTCCCCTGACCCTGCCCACCCGCG